GTCTGTAGGGGCTGTGAGCATCCGTAGGGGGGTCTGTAGGGGCTGTATCTATAGGGGGGTCTATAGGGGCTATGAGTGCCTATGGGGGGGCAGAGGTGTCTATAGGGTCTTTGAGTGTCTGTAGGGAGGGAGAGGTGTCTGTGGGTGGACAGGGGTGTCTATAGGGGCTGTGAGTGTCTATGGAGGGGTCTATAGGGGCTGTGAGTGCCTATAGGGGCTATGGGTGCCTATAGGGGGGTCTATGGGGGCTTTTTTTTTTGTTTTTTGAGGCTTTTTCCCTCTTTTCCACAGCTTTTCCTGGACGACACCAAAGTCAAGAACTTCATCACCTGCTTCAAAGGTACCGGCACCCCCAAAACTCCCCCAAATCACCCCCAAACCCCCACCTCACCAGCACAGCTCCCCCCTCATCATCCTTAATTGGGGTCCAGTCCTTAACTGAGAGCAGATCCTTAATTAGGGTCTCATCCTTAATTAGGATTCAATCCTTAACTGAGGTCTCATCCTTAATTCGGGTCTGATTGTTAATCAGGATCCGATCCTTAATTGGGATCTCATCCTTAATTGGGGTTCGATCCTTAATGGGGGTGCTGAGCCCTCAGCAGCAGGGCTGGGTCCTATTTGCATATTAATTACCTTCTTAATTAAGCACCTCCTGCTCTTAATACCTCCCGCTCGTGCTTCCTGATGTGACTTCCTCTCCCTTAATCAGGATCCAGTCCTTAATTGGGAGGGGGACCTTAATTGGGGTCTCATCTTTAATCAGAATCTGATCCTTAATTGGGATCTGATCCTTAATTGGGGTCTTATCCTTAAATCAGGAGCTGCTTCTTAATTTGGATCTCAACCTTAATTGGGATCTCATCCTTAAATGGGGAGTGGATCCTTAATTGGGATCTCATCCGATCTCATCCTTGATTGGGAGCCAGTCCTTAATCGGGAGTGGATCCTTAATTGGAGTCTCACCCTTAATCAAGATCTGATCCTTAATTGGGATCTTATCCTTAATTGGGAGCCGATCATTAACTGGGGTCCCATCCTTCATCGGGAGTGGATCCTGAACTGGAGTCTCCTCCTTAATTGGGATAGGATTAATTGGGGTGCTGAGCCCTGCTCCAGTTTGCGGGTGGCAAACCAGCCACCGGGTGCCATTTGCATATTAATCACCTTCTTAATTAAGCACCTCCCACCATTTATACCTCCCGTTTGCTCTTTCCTCCGTGACTCCCTCCCCCAAACCCCCAAAACGCAACCCCGCTAACGACCAAAATTCCCCTCCCCGCTGCTAATTAACTGCTGATGGTGGGGGGGGTGTTAATTACCGTTAATTAGCTGCTGTCTCTCCATCCAGACGTCGCCTTCCTCTCCTTCTTCTTCAAGAGGCTGGAGCCCAACCGGAGCGGTCGTTACGAGGAGGAATTCCCTTTCCTCTCTCCCTGCGGGGGGGAACGCAATTTCCTCCGCTGCGAAGATCGACCCATCGTCTTCACCCACCTCCTGACCCCCCCAAACCCCCCCCAAACCACCCCCCCAAACTCCGGTAGCCACGGTGGCCACCCCCCCAAATGGCTCCTTTCCTACTGCGGGGGTGGTCACCGTTTGGTTGTCCCCTTCCAACCCCAGAGCTTGGTGATGCTGCCGGAAAACGGGCGGCTTTATCACCCGGCGCCGGCCAAAACCGGGGGGGTGGGTTTGGTACGTTCGGCTCTGGCTTTGGAGTGGAGCCCCAATTTTGAGTTCGGGGGGGGCCCCACGCAGCCCCCCACTCATTTCTTATGGGAAGGGCAGCGGTACCGGCTCACCGAGGAGCTGCTGCCCCTGCTGAGGGGGGGGGAGGAGGTGGATGTCCCCCTCGCCCCACGGCAGGGGTGAGTTGGGGACCCCCCCAAACCATCCCTGTCACCCCCATAATGAGTGGAGACCCCCCCGGTTGTCCCCAAGGAGGGTCTGGATGTTGTCCCGATGACAATGACAAAAAAGGGAAGAAAGGACTTTGGGAGGAGGTGGAACCCCCACATTTTGGTTGGGAAGGGTGGGATTTGGGGGGCACCGAGGCAGGAGTTATTGTAGGGTCTCCCTGTAAACAGCACGGCAGCACCTGCTAATTAATTAACCAATTTCCTGGTGTTAATTAACGATTTAAGGAGGGTCTGGATGTTGTCCCGATGACAATGACAAAAAAGGGAAGAAAGGACTTTGGGAGGAGGTGGAACCCCCACATTTTGGTTGGGAAGGGTGGGATTTGGGGGGCACCGAGGCAGGAGTTATTGTAGGGTCTCCCTGTAAACAGCCTGGTGGCACCTGCCAATTAATTAACCAATTTCCCAGAGTTAATTAACTATTTAAGGAGGGTCTGGATGTTGTCCCGGTGGCGTCAGGACTGATGCCAGTGACCCAAAAAAAAGGGGAGAAAGGACGTAAAAAAAAAGCATCAGGAGGAGGTGGAACCCCCAAATTTTGATTGGGAAGGGGGATTTTGGGGGACAGGGTGCAGGAGTTATTGTAGTGTCTCCCTGTAAACAGCCTGGCAGAACTTACCAATTTATTGACCAATTTCCTAGAGTTAATTAACGATTTAAGGAGGGTCTGGATGTTGTCCCGATGACAATGACAAAAAAGGGAAGAAAGGACTTTGGGAGGAGGTGGAACCCCCACATTTTGGTTGGGAAGGGTGGGATTTGGGGGGCACCGAGGCAGGAGTTATTGTAGGGTCTCCCTGTAAACAGCACAGCAGCACCTGCCAATTAATTAACCAATTTCCTGGCCTTAATTAACGATTTAAAGAGGGTCTGGATGTTGTCCCGATGGTGGTGACAAAAAAGGGAAGAAAGGACTTAAAAGAGCAGCAGGTGACAAAAAAGGGAAGAAAGGACTTAAAAACAACGGGAGGAGGTGGAACCCCCAAATTTTGGTTGGGAGGGGGGATTTTTGGGGGAGGAGGTGGAACCCCCACATTTTGGTTGGGAGGGGGCGAGGCAGGAAGGGAGGAGGTGGAACCCCCACATTTTGGTTGGGAAGGGTGGGATTTGGGGGGCACCGAGGCAGGAGTTATTGTAGGGTCTCCCTGTAAACAGCACAGCAGCACCTGCCAATTAATTAACCAATTTCCTGGCCTTAATTAACGATTTAAAGAGGGTCTGGATGTTGTCCCGATGGTGGTGACAAAAAAGGGAAGAAAGGACTTAAAAGAGCAGCAGGAGGAGGTGGAACCCCCAAATTTTGGTTGGGAGGGGGGATTTTTGGGGGACACCGAGGCAGGAGTTATTGTAGGGTCTCCCTTTAAACAGCAGGGCAGCACCTGCCAACTAATTAACCAATTTCCTGGTGTTAATTAACAATTTAAGGAGGGTCTGGATGTTGTTCCAATGGGGGGAGAAAGGACTTAAAAAAGCAGCAGGAGGAGGTGGAACCCCCACATTTTTGTTGGGAAGGGGTGAGGCAGGAGTTATTGTAGGGTCTCCCTATAAACAGCCTGGTGGCACCAGCCAATTTATTGACCAATTTCCCAGAGTTAATTAAAAATTTAAGGAGGGTCTGGATGTTGTCCCGATGCTGCAGAGAGAAAGGGGAGAAAGGACCTCGGGAGGAGGTGGAACCCCCAAATTTTGGTTGGAAATGGTGGGATTCTGGGGAACACCGAGGCAGGAGTTATTGTAGGGTCTCCCTGTAAACAACCCAGTGGCACCTGCCAATTAATTAACCAATTTCCTGGTGTTAATTAACAATATAAGGAGGGTCTGGATGTTGTCCCAATGCTGCAGAGAAAAAGGGGAGAAAGGACTTCGGGAGGAGGTGGAACCCCCAAATTTTGGTTGGAAATGATGGGATTTTGGGGGGCAAGGTGCAGGAGTTATTGTAGGGTCTCCCTGTAAACAGCACGGCAGCACCTGCCAATTAATTAACCAATTTCCTGGCATTAATTAACGATTTAAGGAGGGTCTGGATGTTGTTCTGATGGTGGTGACAAAAAAGGGGAGAAAGGACTTTTAAAAGCAGCAGGAGGAGGTGGAACCCCCAAAATTTGGTTGGGAGGAGGGATTTTGAGGGGGGGTTCTGAGGCAGGAGTTATTGTAGGGTCTCCCTGTAAACAGCCTGGCAGAACTTACCAATTTATTGACCAATTTCCCAGAGTTAATTAAAAATTTAAGGAGGGTCTGGATGTTGTCCCGATGCTGCAGAGAGAAAGGGGAGAAAGGACCTCGGGAGGAGGTGGAACCCCCAAATTTTGGTTGGAAATGGTGGGATTCTGGGGAACACCGAGGCAGGAGTTATTGTAGGGTCTCCCTGTAAACAACCCAGTGGCACCTGCCAATTAATTAACCAATTTCCTGGTGTTAATTAACAATATAAGGAGGGTCTGGATGTTGTCCCAATGCTGCAGAGAAAAAGGGGAGAAAGGACTTCGGGAGGAGGTGGAACCCCCAAATTTTGGTTGGAAATGATGGGATTTTGGGGGGCAAGGTGCAGGAGTTATTGTAGGGTCTCCCTGTAAACAGCACGGCAGCACCTGCCAATTAATTAACCAATTTCCTGGCATTAATTAACGATTTAAGGAGGGTCTGGATGTTGTTCTGATGGTGGTGACAAAAAAGGGGAGAAAGGACTTTTAAAAGCAGCAGGAGGAGGTGGAACCCCCAAAATTTGGTTGGGAGGAGGGATTTTGAGGGGGGGTTCTGAGGCAGGAGTTATTGTAGGGTCTCCCTGTAAACAGCCTGGCAGAACTTACCAATTTATTGACCAATTTCCCAGAGTTAATTAACGATTTAAGGAGGGTCTGGATGTTGTCCTGATGCCGGTGACCAAAAAAAAAAGGGGAGAAAGGACGTTTAAAAAAAAAGCAGTGGGAGGAGGTGAAACCCCCCAAATTTTTTTGGTTGAAGGCCAGGTGGCCACCGAGCTACAAGGCGAAGTAGTCGAGGGCACCGTGTCGGCAGAGGCTGGTGGTCCAGACGGCGTGGGCTCTGCCGGAGCTCGCCAGCATGTGGCCCAACTCGGCGCCGAGGGCGGCCAGACGTTCCTCATCCAGCGGTTCCTCCAAGGGCAAAGCGGGAAGAGGCCATGGTGGCTCCAAGGAGAAGCAGTCCGAAGGGTAAGGGTAGACCACCCAACGTAAATCCTGAAGAACCACGGTCTTCTGGACCAAGTTCTTGAGTCCTGCCGTGGAGATGGGGTTGCCAAAAAGTCCCAAGCAACGGAGATGGGAACACCGGCAAAGAGCCGGCAGGAGGGACTCCAAGCAAGCGTCCGTCAGTCGACACTCCATGAGGTCCAGGTGGAGGAGAGAGGCTGAGGTCTCCTCCAGGAGATGTTGGAGGTGTTGGAGGAGGTTCTGGGAGAAATCGTGGCCGCTCAGATCCAGTTTCTTCAAGGCTGGAGCGTGGAGGCTTCGGGAGAGGAAGGTGAAGTCGGAGGGAAGGAGGAAGCAGGCGGCCAGTTCCAGGCTCTCCAGGGGAGACCGCAGGTCGCTGCCCAAAAGGGGGGTGGAAATTAGGTGTGAGTCCCCCCTCAAAAGCCACCACCGCGTGGGGTGGGAGGGAGCTGCCACCTTGGGGCCTCAACGGAGGAGAGACATGGACCAGAGGAGGCCATGGAGATGTTGGAAGGGCTGGAAGCCCCCCCCTCTGCTGGGAGGACAAGCTGAGAGAGTTGGGGGGGTTCAGCCTGGAGAAGAGGAGGGTCCAGGGAGACCTTGGAGACCCTTCCAGTCCCTCAAGGGGCTCCAGGAAAGCTGGGGAGGGCCTCTTGATGAAGAGGGGAGCCACAGGAGGAGGGGGAAGGGTTTTAAGGTGAAAAAGGGGAGATTTAGGTAAGATCTGGGGAGGAAATTCTTCCCCTTGAAGGTGGTGAGATCCTGGCCCAGGTTGCCCAGAGAAGCTGTGGCTGCCCCATCCCTGGAAGGGTTCAAGGGCAGGTTGGATGGGGCTTGGAGGAACCTGGTCTGGTGGGAGGTGTCCCTGCCCAGGGCAGGGGGTGGCACTGGGGGGGCTTTAAACATCTCTTCCCACCCAAAAGTTGAAATATTTGACTAATGCACTGAATAATCCCCATATTCCCCCAAGGAACCGTGGTGAACCCACCCAGATGCCACCACAAAACCCAAGACCCGTGAAGTTCTCCCCCCCAGAAGAACATGTTGAGGACCCCCCGCTCCACCACCAAAAAAAACTTACCCCAGAAGTTGCCTCAGTTTCCCCGAAAGCCTGGAAGAGCCCAAATTGAGCTCCTTGAGGCAGAGCAACCTCCCCAGTTGGGTGGCGAGGCAGCGGAGGCCGGCCTCGGTGGCCACCCGGCGCACGTTGACGTTGCTGTAGGGCAACCTGAGGCTGAGGAGCCCAGTGAAACGGGCCAAGTGGGGCAAAACGGCGCAGAGACCGGTCAAGCCCAGGTTGTTGAAGCGTAGATCCACCCGTCGCACGCCGGTGGGTTCCAGTAAGTCCAGTAAACTCACGATACTGGTGACGGGGAGTTCCTCGGCGTGGAAATCCCGGCACTTGAGGCGCAAAGGGCCGGCGGTTTGTAGAGCGTCCCGTAGGACGTTGAAGGAGGTGCTGTTGACGAAGAGATCGGCGCGGACCTCCACGGCCAGGGGTGGAGGGGTCGCCGCCGAAGCGCCGGAAGGACCTTTGTGTCGCTTGGAACGGCGTTTCAGGCACTCGTGGTGGTGTTTGGAGACCTCCACGCAGGCTTTGGCCAAGGCCACCGTGCAGGACCAGAGGCTCATCCACTCCGGGCCGCGGTCGGTGTCATCGCTTTGGAGTCCCGTCACGTCCAGCACCTTCAGGCGGCACCGGCTCTCGCTGGGAGAAGATGAGAAAGGAGTGAATTAACGAGCAGGTAATCAAGGAACCAAAATAAGGCCATGGCCAACTCCCAGGAGAACCCATGGCCAACTCCCAGGAGAACCATGGCCATCTGGTGGCTCATGGTCCTGCTCTCCTGTTGCCTGGGGCCAACCCGTGGCTTCCTCCCTCCCCACTCGCACCCCCAGGAGGAGCATTGTCACCTCCACCTCTAGAGAGTTGGGTGGTGAGGAACCTCATGAGGTTCCACAAGGGCAAATGTAGGGTCCTGCAACTGGGGAGGAACCACCTCATGGACCAGTAAAGGTTGGGGGTTGACCTGCTGGACAGGTGGAGAGGGACCTGGGAGTCCTAGTGGACAACAGGTTGCCCATGGGCCAGCAATGTGACCTGGTGGCCAAGAAGGTCTCCTGGGGTGGTCAGCAGGTAGAAGGAGGTTGTTCTCCCTCTCTGCTCTGCCCACATCTGGAGCAATGGGTCCAGTTCTGGCCCAGAAGGACTGGGAACTGCTGGAGAGAGTCCAGCAGAAGCTGCGAGGATGAGGAGGGTCTGGAGCATCTCTGAGGGACATGGGGCTGTTGAGCTGGAGAAGAGTAGGCTGAGAGGGGACCTCATCGATGCTGAGCGATATCTAAAGGGTGGGTGGCAAGAGGATGGGGCCAAACTCTTCCCAGTGGCGCCCAGTGACAGGACAAGGAGCAAACTGGGACACGGAAAATTCCACCTCAACACGAAGACAACGGAGTCTCCTTCTCTGGAGATCTTCCAAAGCCACCTGAGATGGGTTCCTCTCCAACCTTCTCCGGGTGACCCTACTTTGGATGCTCTCCCAAAGGTCCCCTTCCAACCCACCTGGTATCACGACAGGGTTCCTCCAACGCCCGACGGAGCCGTGTCACCACGGCGAGGATGACAGCTTGGACGCACAACTTGCTGGGCTTCTCAAGACCGTGGAGAGGGTGCCGGTCACCTTGGTGGCCACGGTGGCCCAAAAGCCAAGGGAAACTGAGGACGGGGAAGGGCCACGTCCCCACCAGGTCCTGAAGAGCAAGAGTCCTCTCGTCCAGGAAGGCGGCTTGGAAGAGGACGGGGTAGAGCTCGGTGGGGACAATGTCCAGGGCCCGGTGGGTGGTGGGACGGTGGCCCACCAGGTGACGGGCGCAGAGGAAGAGGAGGGAGTGCATAGTTCCTGGTGCCGAGGGGCTGTGGGGCAGAATTTGGGGGGGGGATGGATCAGGGGTGGAAAATAGGTTGGGGGGAGTGGTGAGACCCCCCCAAAACGTGGGGTCAGGGGTGGAAAAGAGGTTGGGGGGAGCGGTGAGACCCCCCCAAAACGTGGCCTGGGGGGTAGAATGTGGCCCTGTGGGTCTGGTGGGGGGGGGGGGTTGAGGGTGTCACCCCATAGAATCCTAATCCAGCCCCCCCAACCAATCAACCCCCCCAAAACATGGCCTGGGGGGTAGAACGTGGCCCCGTGGGTCTGGCGGGGGGGCGGAGTTGAAGGTGTCACCCCATGGAATCCCTAATCCAGCACTCTTCTGATCTGACCATGGCAGTACATGGCGTGTTGCCAGTACCCACATGGAAAAACAGCAGAAAAACTGTCAGGCATTTGGGTGAGACTCTCACACCTATATGTAAGCCCAGATTTTGTCCCTGGAAAGGAATCAGTGTGGATTAGTACTTTTTCCTCATAAGAAATCTTCCAACAGCCAAGGCACTTTGTGTTCTCTCCTGGGGAATATGAGCTGTTAGGTTTCCTAGCCTGGGATTCAAGTAACCTTTTTTCCCCCTCAATTTTGCTTTAACAATTGCCATGCTCTACATATTAGCAAAAAGGTAAAATTTCAGCATTAGTCTGACTCTGTTCTCTTTTGGATCCAAAAGCAGACGATACTTTTTCAGTTTTTATTTGTATTCACTGGAGATTTGGCGCAAGAAGGTCACATTACCACAAGATAACACTGATGCTTGCCATATGGTGGCAAAATCTGATTAGAGAAGCTCAAAAGATTTGGCATCAGTGAACCCCAAATGGTAATATAACCGGGGGTCTGGGTCCTTCCGCCGCTGTGGGGCCCGGAGGCCGGGGTGCCCCCCCCCCGCCCGGTTCCTGGACCCCCGGAGCCCTCAGATCCCCCCCCATAAGATCCCGGGGAACTGTCCCTGGGCGCCATGGAGCGGCAGCGGGAGGTGAAGGCTCTGCTGAAGCAGTGGGAAGCGGCCTTCCTGCAGGAGCGGCGGAGGAAGCCCAGCCAGGTGGTTTGGGGAGGGGGGGGAGACCCAGACCCCCATGGGAGAGAGGGCCTCAAGGCCTTTCCATAAGC